TTGTTGGGGTTGGAGAGATGGCTCAGCAGAGAAGAGTCCTTGCTGCTCTTCCAGAGGACCTGAGTTCAGTTGCCAGCACCCTCACTGAACAATTCATTATCAGTTTTAACTCTAGCTCTGGGGTATCTGATGCCCTCTTATGGTCTCCTCAGGCACTGAACTCACACACACACACACACACACACACACACACACACACACACAAAACAATCAAATGAAAGAGCAAGAAAGGAGAGACACATACATGCTGACATCCGGTCCTTTTTGACACACGGTATGAAACAAACTCATCATTCCATCACTTTGCAGCTGAAGAAGGAGGATTGCTATGAGTTGGAGCCCAGCCTGGGCAGCATAGTGAGTTCCAGGCCAGCATGGGCTACAGAAAGACTCTATCAAACAACAACAGCAACAAAAATAATACAAACCAAAAAAAGCCAACACAGCAAACAAAAAAACAGGACAAAAGAAACCAACACAAAAATGTACACAGGGTGTAAGGCCCTGGGTTCAATCCCCAACACCAGAGTGAATGAATGCCTATTTGAGTTGAGTAAAGAATTTAAAAATATTTTACCGTACATGTGGGCATGTGGAGAAAGCAGATTAGAATATGACACTCTCGTGTATGATCAGTCTGTATGGTAAAGTGCCATTTGCTGCTGTGTGCATAATAGACTCTTGTCAATTGAATTAATTATCACTGTTGTTGGTATCCAGAATGTTGCTAAACTCTCTGGCAGCAATATTTCCCGACTCACTTTTCTGTGTCATTGTCTCTCCATCTTAATTATCAGAGCTATTCCTTATGCTTGATAGCTAGGGCAGTAAGTCCCATTTCTGGCATATTATCTATATTTACCTCAATCCGGTTTTGTTTTGTGTTTCTGAGGCAGTCTCATGTATTCCAGGTTGCCTTCAGACTTGCTGCATAGTCAAGGATGACCTTGAACTCCTGATCCTCCTACCTCTACTTACTGAGTGCCAGGAGTACAGGCATGCATCTCGATGGCTGGTCTATGCAGCTCTGGGAATGAAATCCAGGTCTTTGGACGTGCCAGGAAAACACTCTACCGACTGAGTTCCCCTGTCTTTACTGCAATTATTCTGGCTTCTGGGAAAAAAAGGCTTCTCATAAAATAGTGGAAATGGGCCAGGAATAAATGCGGAATTTTTGCTATTAAGCACATAGCTGTGATTTCCATGGTCTAAAGTTTTCCAAATGCTTTAGTGTAGGTGGGATTCTGTCAGGAGTTGGGACTGATGGGGAAGTTGAGTCTCTCCTAAAGAAACTCCTCTAATCTGTGGAATCCAACTGAATACTGGAACTTGACATGCTTGGTTTACTGATTACGCATGTAAGCATGTGTGCACACACACACAGAGATGTATTAGGGTGTGTGAGGGTATGCATATATACATGTGAATTTGTATAGATGAGTGTGAATACATTTTTGTGTAGGGAGAGTGTCTATGCATGCATGTTTGGGTATATGTGAGTGTGTATAAATGTGTCAGTATTTATGATATGAGTGTATACAAATGTTTTAAATTGTGTGTATGTATACATTCTGTTCTATCTGAGTAACTTTGTGAGCTTCCACGGCACTTGCTCTAGTCTCTAGTCTGGAATTTGTGTTTGTTCTAAGTCTCATTCCTATATCTGGAAGAGTAATGCTGGCTGTTGTAAACACATAAGTTTAAACTGCAGCCCCCAAGAAAACAATGTCCTCGATTTCATGGAGGGAGGTGAAGATTTACACTCTGGGCTGTTTTTTTGCTGCCACACTGGAGCTGTTGTAGCTCATTTGGAATCTATGACCAGTGTGAACTGGGAGGATTTATTTTTCATTGAGGAGTTATAAAACCCATGGACCTCACAGGACTTCTGGACCCTGTAGGATAGACAAACCCAATCCATCATCTATGTGAAAGTAGATAGATGGGCTGGGGAGCCTTTTCAGTGGTAGAGTGCTGATCTAGTATGTAGGAGGCCTGGGTTTCACCCCAGCACCACATTAACCCAGTGCAATGATGCATGCCTATGATTTCAGGACTCCAGAAATGGACACAGGAGGCAGAAGGTCACTGTCATCTTTTACAATGTGGTGAGTTCAAGGCCAGCTTAGGAGACATAGGACCTTGCCTTAAAAAGTAAGATAGTCCCTGATCTTAATAGAAGGGAATTCCTTCATTCCTTCTTTTTTTCTTTTCTTTTCTTGTTTTGTTTCGTTTGTATTTCTCTGGCTGTCCTGGACCTTGCTCTGTAGACCAGACTGTCCCAAGACTCATAGATCATCCTGTATCTCTCCCTCCTGAGTACTGGGAATGAGGATGTGAGCCACCATTGCCCAGCTTTCTTTCTCCTACCCCTAATATTTCAAATGTTTAAAGATTTTAGCGTCATTTTTACTGCTTCATGTTTGGTACATATCTGAGAGAAAGAACTACCTTGGGCTTGTGAGACGTCTCAACAGGTCAAAGCAGTTGCTTGAGGTTCATCTCTAGGATCCATGTGGGGGAGGAGAGAATTGACTACTGCAAGCTATCCTGTCCCCCATATGTGCTCCATGCCACAGGCATGACACTCATATGAACCAAATAAAGAAATGTAACAAAAAAGTTTTAAAAGAAATATTTTAAAGTCCCACCTCCCAGCAAACACACGGATTCCTTCCTACTCATCACGCTAGCATTAATTGTGTGTTTGCATGGCTGTGATTAGAGTATCTGCAAAACCAACCTAGGGCAGGGAAGATTTGTTTGGACTCCTGATTTCAGGGGTTTATAGGCCATGGTTGCTTAGTCCCATGTGAATAGGCAGAGTATCAGGGTGGTGGGAGCATGGACAGAGAGAGTGTTTCACTTCCTTTCCAACAGGAAGCAGATTGCAAGAGGTGGCCAGATCAGTTACAGCCTCCAAAGCATGTCTGAAGTGACTTCCTCAAGCCAAGCCCCATTTCCTAGAGTTTCTGGAACCATCAGAAACAGCACCTCGAGCTGGGAGTCAATCATTCAACACCAGCAATTCTCCTGCCTCAACTCACCACAGGGCTAGGGTTTCAGGTTCATGTGCAGTCATGCCTGGCTTTGTCCATGTGACATTTTTTTTAAGCTGGGTACAAGGATCTGAACTCAGGTCCTCCAGCTTGCACAACAAGTATTCTAGCCCACATCTCCCCAGCTCTATTTCTCTCTTTTGAAAAACATAAAATTTTTCTTACCTTTGTGTTATTCTAGGTTAATCTTACTAACCTTTATTATCTTCTAGACTTAAGGAACAATGGTAACAAAAGTCAATGGAGACTGGAGAATTGACTTGGTGGTTAAGAACATGAACTGGTCTTTTATAGGTCCTGAGTTCGGGTTCCAGTACTCAATACTGGGTGGCTTACGACTAATTCCCTGTAACTCCAACACCAGGTATCTGATGCCCTCTAGTGGTCTTCATAGGTATCTGCACTTTTATGTTCATACTCCCACAGATACACATACTTAACAATTAAAGGGATGATGGAGAAAAAATCAGACAGTAAAGGCACTTGTCACCAACCTGACTAGCTGAGTTCAATCCTTGGGACCCATATGGTTGAAGGAGAGAACCAACTTTCACAAGTTGTCCTATGGCCTCTATATCTGCACACACACACACACACACACACACACACACACACACACAATTTTTAAAAATTAAAAGAAGAAATTGGCCTTAGAGTACAGCTTGGTGCAAGTGTGATTGCCCAGCTAACACACACAAGGCTGTGAGTTCAAAGCCCATCACCCTTCCTAGAAGGGGGTAAATTGTAATGTATAGTATTGTATTTTCCTACTGTTCCATCTTCCTAGTTAGGAGACACATCTTCATTTCCAGTTTATGTAGGTTGAATTTTATTCCCCTTAGTAAAATGTCTTTATAGTCTTATTGGTTATTGCTGGAGCTGATGCAATATTGTTGCTGTTATAAATAGGTTCAATATTACATATTCTGGTTAGTTATTGTGGGAATAAAATGCTCTTGTTAATACTAGATCGTTACGTCTTCCACCCAGGCATCCTCACTGAGAGGCAGCCTTGCTTCCTACTTCTTTTCTTTATCACCCTGAAGAAACTTTCTTCCTTGACATGGCTGTCTTTAGTGCCTCTAGCGCCCTTTCTGCAACACCCAGCTGGCCTTTTTCAAGTTGATTTCTCTGTGACATTCATTAGCATCCATCTTACTCTTTATGATTATAAATTCATTATTATATTCACTCTTCCTTTTGATGACTTCTCAGGGCGTGTGTGTGTGTGTGTGTGTGTGTGTGTGTGTGTGTGTGTGCGTGCGTGCCTGCGTGTGCATTTTACTGTGTGTACATGTGTGCAAATGTGTGTGGAAAACAGAGGTCAAAATCAGATGTTTTTATAGAGACAAGGTCTCAGGTTGGAATTGGTCAAAAAGTCCAGGCTGACTTGCCAGTAAGCCCCAGCGATCTGCCTCCTCAATGCTGGGGTTATAGCTTCGTTCCACTGGCCTTAAAAATGATAGTCCTAGGAAGAAAACACGGGTCCTCGTGCTGTAAATGCTCTACAGCAAAGAGCAAGGGGCCCTTTTGGAATAGAAGCATTTCCAGGTGCATGTGTGTGTTGGTTGATATTGTGGGTCAAGTTGACAAGATCTGGAATCACCTAGGAGACACACCTCTGGGCATGACCGTGATGAGGTTTCTAGACTAGATTAGCTGAGGAAGGAAGACCCAGCTTAAATGTGTAAGTACCATCCCACTGATGAAATCCCAGACAGAAGAGAATGGAGAAAGTAAGTTGAGCACAGCACTCACCTCCCTCTGTTTCCCCTGGGATGCCACGTGACCAGCTGCCTCACACTCTGGCCTCCATGCCTGCACCTCTTGGTGGACTCAGCCTGTAAGTCAGAATAAACCCTTTCTTCCTTGAGTTGTATTAGTTATGTATTTTGTCACAGCTGGGAAGAGGTGACTGATACAGCAGTGTCATCTCAATGGATTTTAGTGGCAACATTCTGGCACAAGACTAACGTGTCCTTCATCTGTGGACTTGAGCTCTTATTCGTCTTTGTCGGTGGTTTCTGAGAGTTTGCTAAGTGAACACATTAAAATCCTGAGGAAATTTGAGCTGCCTTGTTGCATCTCTCTGACAGAAGAAATTGGGGAAAAAGCACATGGACCACAAAATATGTAATTCATAGTTGTCACATTGTGCTGGGAGGCATGGTGGGTTTTCTTTTGTGTGTGTTTGTAGAGTTGCTAAGTGGAGTCTTTCATCCTGGGAAGAAATCATGCCACAGGGGAAGAAAAAAAAACATTGCATTAAGGACCAAATTCCCTGCATGTCCTTGGTCAAATGGGCATGCATTCTTAATCTTTATTTCTATGTTATTTTTGCATGTTTGTGTGTGTGTGTGTTCATGTACATGTGGTGGCATGTAAAGGTCAGCCTTGGTCATCATTCCTGAGGTGCTATTTACCTTGATTTTTGAGACGGGATCTCTTACTGGGGCCTGGAGTGTCCTGAAATGGCTAGGTTGTGTGGTCAGTGAGCCATGCTCCCAGCTCCTCACTAGGGGATTCTAGGCAAGTGCTCTATCACTGAGACATGCCCCCAGCCCCTCACTGGGGAATTCTAGGCAGGTGCTCTACCACTGAGATATGTCATCAGCCCCTCCCTGACAGATGATAGGCAAGTATGCTACAATTGAGCCAGATACCAGCCCAGTTCTTTTACATCAACAACAACAATAATAATAATCCATGCTTCCTTTCTAAGTATACTCGCTAAGGGAATGCTGATTTTTATGAATATCTGTTTCAATTTTGTTTTCCTGGGGAACTTGGATTCCCCTGTGCCATACATCAACCTTTAGTTAATGATCAACCTATCTCTCCTTTCTCAGCCGACTGTTTCCATTCCCCCTTTAACACATCTTGGGAGTTTCCCTTTCTTATAGGTTTGTCATTTTATGCAATTTAAAATAACTTTATTGAGTCTTTCACTGGAAAGTTTTTATGTGTACCCTTATGTTTTGTTTTGTTAGAAACACAATGGCTCATCACAAGAAGGCCATGTATTTGTGGCTTTGTAAGGGTGTTTTATAGATCTCGTAGTATTCAGCTATTGACAGCATCCTGTGATCCCAGCTTTCAGGAGACCTCTGTGTGTGTGTGTGTGTGTGTGTGAGAGAGAGAGAGAGAGAGAGAGAGAGAGAGAGAGAGAGAGAGAGAGAGAGAGAGAGAGAGAGCATATCAGCTCTATCACTTGTCATCAGTCTATATCTCTATATAGCTACCTAATCTCCTGTTGATCATGCATCTGTATTTATATATCTATATTATTTTCCTATGTACCTATCAATCACATATCTATCTACCTGTTATCTGTCATCTATTTATCTGTTGCCTGTCAATCATCTATGTATATACTATCTGCCATCTATTAATATTTATCAAGTATATGTCATATCTATTATCTGTCATCTGTCTATCCATTATGTATCTATATGTCCATTATCTAGATAGCTATAATCTATCACCTACCTATTATCTATCATATTTCATCTATCACCTATCTATCATCCATCTACCTATTTATCATCTTTCATATCTATCAACTATCTATTAATCATAAATCTATGTTCCATCATCTAGACAGTTATCATCTATCTGTCTATCTACTCTATGTGGTATGGCCATCATGCATGGTCACTTTATTCTTCTTATTGCCAAGTACCCCACTGTATGTCAACATTACATTTTGCTTACATTTGGGTAACATGAATAAAGAGCCATTCATTTGAGTTTTGTGTGAATATACACATTTATTTTTCTTTGATGTACACCCAGGAGTTGAGTCCATTGACCTTATGGTCACTGTGCTTGTCATGTTGAAGAATTGCTAAATTCTTTTTCATTTTCCATTCCTCTAGAAATGCTCTATCACCAGTGATTTTATTTTACTTATTTATGTTTTCTGAGCTGTGTAGTCCAGGCTGGCTTTGAACTCACACTCCTGCTGTCTCTGCTTCCTGAGTGATGGGATTACATTTGCTCACTGCCTTGCCTTGGTACCAGATGATCTTAAAATCAAAGCTAAGTACTTGTGTTTGAATAAGGAAGCTGTTTGAGTAAGGCAAAGATGATGCTAAGTCTTTTTTTCCACATCAAATTAGACTGTGCAACTGAAGACAAACATTTAGGCAAGAAGAGAACATCTCAGTTGGTGGGGTTTCTTCTCTGATGGGGATGCTAAGAGCTGAGAGTCCGAGTATGAGAAAAACACACTAAACCACAGGAACCATTCACAGGCTAAACAATGCTGCTCTAGACTGGACCAAGCTGCTTTTGATTTTGATGTTACATGAATGCATTCCCATTTTTAGCAATGCCTGAAATAGATGGTGCACCTTGGTGTTTTGTGATGCTGAACCTCACAAGACACAAGAAGAGTTGTTGGCTTTGACTTGCCCAGGGACATCTTCCTATGAAGTTTGGGTTCACTTGGGATCAATAACTGCCTACCCTTAAAGCCAAAGTGATCTATATTCTTGCTATCCATAGTGGAAATGAAGGGCTGGGGATGTGGCTCAGTGAGAGAGCACTTGGGTAGAATCACCTGGTGAAAGTCTAGGGACCTAGACCAGCAGTAGAGTACCTGCCCAGAATACTCCAGAAAGAAACTGAGTATGTGATTCAGTGATAAAAAATCATGCAGTATGTCAGAGGCACTGATTCAATTTTTAGGATTCCAGAGTATGTGCATGTCCTGATTCAATTTTCAGGACTCCAGAGTGTATGCATACATGTATGTACATACTTGTGAGCACGTGTGTGTGTGTGTGTGTGTGTGTGTGTGTGTGTGTGTGTGATGTGTGTGTGTGTACTAAGTGGCTTGTACATTTGCAATCAGTGAGAGCCATAAGCACAACTTTTCCTAGCTAAGTTATTCAACCTCTCACAGCTCTGTAGTCTATACTTACTCCTTGAGATCTTTATGGGATACTGTGACAATGGATAGGGACCTACCAAC